CACGGAATGTTTTGGGAGACCCAACCTGTATTACATTAACTATAATTAATACAGCATGGAGGTGTTTTGCTTTGTAAATACGCAGATATATTGGGAACATGTGTTTTTTGTAAAAAGTTGAAAAGAAAAAAAAAAAAACCTTTAAAAAGCTGAAATGAAAAAGTTCCAAGTACAGCAATGTAGTTGTAAGCTTCTTAGGTGTTCTAAACACATTAAGATATTGTTCCAAAATAAATCTAATTGAGAATGTGGAGGGTGATTGCCAGGTGCTTCTGATGTCGAAGTGGAAAAATATCAGATTTGAGGTAGAACACAAATAGGAAAGCACACAAGTGACCTATACAAAAATCTCCCTGCACTTACTGTAGTACAGTAGGTCCCATGTGACAACTTCCAGGAGGGTTTGGAGACCCAAAGAATGAGACTCATTATTGCGTTCATTACTCCTGGGATTCCAATTACACATTTGTGTGAGAGGTACACAGGTTTTTCAGCGCGCGTGCTTACACTTTGTATACAGTGCTATTTGATCCAACGTTCTACACCACACATTCTTAAATTCCGCAGTAGTGGATTAATTCAATCAACCATTTTCTATTTTAAAAAGTTGTATTTTTCCATTATGTGGTGAGTGATTTAAGAAGACGCATTAAACCCCTATCTAACAGAAAAGCCAATATAAGTTGTCAGTCCCCCCCACCCCCATCCTTTACCTATACGCAGGTGAAAACATAACTAATGTAGTAAAATATCTATTTTCCATAATTCAGTCAGAGTTAAACAAGGATGCTACTACTTCTGTGTGCCTCTAGAAAGCCCAATGAAATATTGCAAAAAAGTTAAAATTTAGATGGGGGGCCACAGACTGACCTTCACTCTCTCTTTTGGATTGTCTTACAGAGGCCAGCTTTGGGAAGGATGGGAAGGTTAGCTTGTAAAGCAAGAAGCCATCTCCAAAAATACAACGTAAGGGGAAAAAAAAAAAAATTATAAACTTGAAACTTTGCTCGCCCTTGAAGATAAACTCCAGAATTTGGTAAAGACTATGCTTCATGGTGTGGGACTGGATGAACTGTGGGTAGATAGTCTGCACTGCTATGGAAGATTTTAGAGAGACTGGAATTTATTTGAAACTAATGACAAGACCAGAGGGATGCAGGATTCTCCAAAACTAAAACTAAACAGTCGCACCTGCTTATTGCCTCTTCACATTCCTACTGCTGAAGACCATCTGGGACTATCACCACTATCTCTCTCCAAGCTGACAAGAGGCACATTTCTGGTGCTTCAGCAACAAGCGATTGACACAAACAAAATATCTCTCTCCTTATTCGTTACCTGCGAATTTGCTAACTCAAAAAGGATGGTAAGGGTTCTAGGCTAAAATCGGACACATATGCTGTTCTAAAGCACAAGATCAGCAATCGGAGGTAATGATAGAACACCCCTCGCAAGACCTAAAATACCACTCCAGCACCAAAAAAAGTCTTCGGTGGATACATCACCATCAGGAATGCTTCAAACGCTATGTAAATAATCACCTTTTGGACAGCTACACGACAGAACTTGATTACACTTTTAATGGAGACATGGAAGGAAAAAATAGAGAAAAAAAAATAATGAAATCTCTCAGATTAATAAATTGTTACTTCTTGTTACATAATAAAGTTTCATAACTGATTTGACTTTTAGTACAACAGAAATGCATTTTATAGGGAGTTTATTTTACCGTCTGCATCCAGTCCTTTACCCTGGTTGTAGAGCTGTTTGTAGGATGAATAATCTAACCGATGCACAAAGCATCCCTTTTATTTTAATTTTTATTTTATATGAAATAGATTATTGATCTCCAATACTGAAATACCTCCGAATTGCTCAAAATGTTATGAGAGCCTAAAATGTAAGTACCCTTTCTCCAGATCTCCTATTTTAGTAAATAACCACAATGTTATTTGTTACTGTAACCTTGCAATATATAGCAAAGGTATACGGTTTTAACAGCAGCCTACATATCTGATTATCATACAAATATCATTACATATATATATAAAATGTAAAGTTAAGATGAATTAAAATCATGCAAAAAAAAATTACATATGTACCATTATTGTTGGTAAGTTGGAAAATTAATTATTTCAATTAATTCTTTATTAAATATCCACTGTGCCAACAATAATATACCAACTGTCTTCTGTCCCTGTGGGAAAAAAGGTTTAAATCCTGCAAAATAGGATTTGCTTACTCCTAGGGCCGATTCTAGGGTCACAGGCGCCTGGGTGCAGATTTTTTTTTTTGTGCCCCAGGTATGCATGGTCATTTTAGTAACTCATCCCCTTTGCAAATGTCCAGTCCAAACATGCATGTTTCTATGGCAACTACTCTACCTCTTCATCTATACGCCCCACCTCTTTTTGCAATCAGACACACACTCACCAACAGACAATCCACTGATTTGACACACACACACTCACGGATTTGACACACAATTATACTGACTGACACACACTCTCTCAATGACACACATAAGCTCACTGCTTGGAAACACTCACTGACAGACACACTCACAGGCAGACACACAAGCTCACTGATTTTAAACACACACACACACACACACTCATACTCACTGACAGAAACACTGGCACACACTCCTTAATGACAGATATAATCTCACCGATTGTAAACACTCACTGACAGACACAATCACACATTTACACATTCCTGCATACATAATGTTATTTATTGTTTTATTTTGTAGGCTCAGCCAGCCTCCCTACCTCTAGGAGAGCCGGTCCTTTTCCTGGGGTCCAGTGGGGACATTCTCACTGCAGTCATCTAGTTCCTCACATCTTCCTTGCGTGCTGTTTATTGATGCCGGGGCCGGTGTGATGTCATATTCCGGTTCCAGGCTTCAGGGCAGGGGGTGTGATGGAGCAGTGAAGGACTGGAAACACAGGACTGGCTTCCTCACCGCCCACCTCCTTTCTCCCTCTCAGTATATTTCAGCAGAGGAGGTACCAGCCATCTGGGGTATGCAGGTTCCTACTCTGCCTTGGTAATAAGTGCCCAGTTCAGGATGCCCTAAAGTGGCTAACCAGCCGCCTCCTGGGTCTCCTGTGACAGATTACTGGCCTGCTTCACGCGGCGCCCAGGGTCGGACTATGAATTAAAAGCAGTCCTGGAAAACTATTATACCAGCCCTAACATTTACTGTGACAGATGTACAGGTGGGGGGAAAAAAACTAAGGTTTTACCAACAAGAAAGCACACACTCACAGAACCTAACAATAAACAAAAGATCTGCTTAGATATACATCATCTTACTGTCAACATTTCACTCCCATAACCTTGAAAAGACCAAACTAACCTAATTGCATTCTACGAAGAAGTAAGTAGAAGTATAGATCAGGGTGTTGCAGTGGATGTGATCTACTTGGATTTTGCCAAGGCATTTGATACTGTTCCTCACAATAGGTTAGTCTTCAAACTAAAAGAAATTGGTCTAGATTAAAATTCTTGTTCTTGGGTAGAACATCAGCTTTAGGATAGAGTACAACAAGTTGTCATTAATGGTAGATTTTGAGGCTGGACAAAAGTGGTAAATGATGTCCCTCAGGGTTCTGTTTTCGGACCGCTTCTTTTTAACATATTTATAAATGGTCTTGAAATAGGCATTGAAAGCCATGTTTCAGTTTTTGCAGATGTCACAAAACTTTGCAAAATAATAAAATGTGAGCAGGATATTGCTTTGCTGCAGAGGGATTTGGATAGATTGTGGGACTGGGCATTAAACTGGCAGATGAAATTTAATGTAGAGAAATGCAAAGTTATGCACTTCGGGGTCAAGAATGCACAAGCAACTTACACCCTAAATGGTAGTGAATTAGGGATAACCACACACGAGAAGGATTTGGGCATTGTTATAGACAACAAATTAGGCAGCAATATGCAAAGTCAATCTGCAGTTGCTAAGGCCAGTAAGGTTTTGTCATGTATAAATAGGGGCTTAAATCCTTGAGATTAAAATATAATTTTGCCTCTTTATAAATCGCTGCTAAAACCACTCCTTGAATATGCTGTGCAATTGTTGGGGACAGTTGCGCTGCCGCCATTACCGTTTTTGTCATAAAGGATCAAAAGGAATAAATAAGCCCAACACCCTCTGGCTCTACATACAAAAACAAACTAAAAACCATATGGCAGTACCACCACTAGATGGAGCCAAATCACCAGGCTTTATTTAAACGGGGCCAAGGCTCCAAATTCTCATGTACTGCAATTACTGTTGACTGAGGGTGTCTGTGTAATTCTTCTATTTTGTACAGATATATCCAAAATTGGAAAATATAGTTCAAATGGCAATACAAAATAAATAGAAACTGTGTGGTAGAGCTGTGATAAGATATTCTAGTAAATATGCAGAGCCAATGAGATACTAAGTGTTCTTATTAAACCTAATATCTCTACGTTCACCTATATAGTTTCTCCTTCCTAGCACACAATGACAATATCACCAGAGCACATAGGGGCAAGTACATTAAGCAGTGAGTCATACCCAGTGTTACTGTGATAAGGATGTGAAATGAATCAGAGATTGAGAGAGAGAGAGAGAGAGAGAGAGAAAAAAAATAACTAAATAAGAGATGCACTCTCAGGACTTTACAATAAACCCGTTAGTATTTATTAAAACAAAGGTTACATCATCTGACCAATTAGGTCAGAAGATGTAACCTTTGTTTTAATAAATACCAAAGGATTTATTGTAAAGTCCTGAGAGTGCATCTCTTATTTCTCTCTATATACCTTATAACGTGGGATTGCACCAAGGCATCAAGAGATTCATTTAATTGGAGATAGGGTGAGTGCCAAGCTATCTATTTTTGTGTGTATATATAATATACACCGAGTACAGAAAAATAGGAACTATTTAGGCAAGGACAGATATAGCACGAGAGTAAAAAGATGTCCCTCTCTCCCTGAGACAGGAAACAAATGTAAAATTATGGCAGAATCAAACAAAGTGAACTGCATTATGTGCAATCAAAGGTGCACTGTGTGATTAATTAAACACAAGTATAAACATGATGCTGAGATGCCTGACGCGTGTTTATCTGCACGCAATGATTCACCTGCGTCAGGGGCGATGGAAAGACTGCCTGAGTATCTCCTGGAAGTACCAAGTCTCCTCATTGGAGAACACCAGTCAGCGGCGGGGAGGTGCGGTAAACAGAGTACCTTCTCCCTGCGATCACCGCCCGCTCTGCTGCCCGCATCCATGTTCAGCGGTGACACACACAGTGACCCATACAAATACTGGTACATATATACACTCATTAACAAACACTGGCACACATTGATCCATACTGCCCCACACACATTGATCCATACTGCCCCACACACATTGATCCATACTGCCACACACACATTGATCCATACTGCCCCACACACATTGATACAAACTGACACACACAGTGATCCGTACTGACACAGACAATGACACATACAAACATTGGAACACAAACACACACACAATTACTTGTTTCAATAAACCTGCCTTCCTGCAGAAATCCTGAGTGCCTGGACCTAATTTATTTTATTTACATACAAACACTGGAACACACACAATTACACCCTAAGAATCAGTAAGAATCATTAACATGAACATGAAATGCCTGGTAGCCACTGCCCACTGAGCCCACCTTGCTCGCTGAAATGGTCTGTACTCAACTCATGAATGAAACTCGGGATAAATAAATTGTTGAGTTCCCAGCATCCATCCAGCAGAATGGGGGGAATCTGAAGCACAGTAATAAAATGTTCACTGTGGGTTAAATGTCCTCTTAAAACGCTCTGAGAGCATTCCAGTGACAATTATAAGACAGGGAAGCTCATTCCCAGCTGCCTGCCAGCAGCTCTATTACTGGCACCCTTCTCATTCCTCTCACTGCCTGACAGCATTTTACACACAGCAAAACTTCAAAAAACCTGCGTGGGCTGCCAAGCTGTGCCTGATTGGCAAGTCACATACTTCCTGTGTGTAAAGGCTATCAGACACCCAAAACACACACACCTTCTGCGGGCTGGGGCTGTTGGAAGTTGAGGGCTATATCCTTTCCTGGTTCACCCCGTCCCCTTTGTGGCCCCATGTTGCCCCCCTTTGTGGCCCCCTTCCTGCGTGGCTTTGTATGTTACAACTGGGAGGAAATGAGTCTTGCTCTCTCTTTCTCCCAGCAGTCTGTGCAAGCTAGAAGGGGCCCAGGCACGCTATTAAAGAGCTGCAGCGCACAACCTGACCCACCATGGCACATGTCCATCAGGTGTCCCTGAGTGCATTGGCCATTCGATGGACCCATTTAGCTTGCGGTTCCCAGCATGTGCGCTTGCACTGCGGCCATTATTGTTGGGTTTTTTTCACGTACTCCCTGAGGCACACTTACCACAGGGTGGGTAAACCTGTCCTAAAGGATGATTAAAAGGAATAAATAAACCCAACACCCTCTGGCTCTATATACAAAAAAAGAAACTCAAAACCTCTCTCTGAAAACATAAAAGTAATTCCATATAGCAATACCACCACTAGATGGGGCCAAATCAACAGGCTTTATTGAAAAGAGCCAAGGCTCCAAATTCTCGTGTACTGCAATTACTGTTGACGGAGGGTGTCCGTGTAACTCTTCTATTTTGTACAGATATATCAAAAATTGGAAACTATAGTTCAAGAGACAATGTAAAATAAATAGAAACTGTGTGGTAGATCTGTGATAAGATATTAAAGGGACACTATAGTCACCCAGAACACTTCAGCTCAGTGAAGTGGTCTGGGTCCCCGGTCCCTCAAGTTTTAACCCTTCAGATGTAAACATAGCAGTTTCAGAGAAATGTTTACATTGCAGGGTTAATCCAGCCTCTAGTGGCTGTCTTCTCACAGCCGCTAGAGGCGCTTCTGTGACGCTGGATGCGAAAATCGCATTCAGCGTGCAGAATGTTCATAGGAAAGCATTGAGAAATGCTTTTCTATGGACTGTTTGAATGCGCACAGAGTACATAAGGGGCAAGTACACTAAGTATTGAGTCATACCCAGTGTTACTGTGAAATGAATCAGATATGTATCATATTTCACAGATAATCGCAATCAAATGGTGGTATGACAAAGCCTAGTGCCAGTTAAACCAAATCATAGTCTACATCTAGGTAAAATATATATATATACCTAGTATAGGAACTATTTAGGCAAGGACAGATATAGCATAAAAGTGAAAAGATGTCCCTCTCTCCCTGAGAAACAGAGATAGAAATTTTTTTTAGAGTTATGGCAGAATCAAACAAAGTGACCTGCATAATGTGCACTCTAAGGTGCACTGTGAGATTAATTAAACACAAGTATGAAAATGATGCTGAGATGCCTGACGCGCGTTTCGGTTCCACGCAATGATGCACCTCCATCAGGAGAAAAGGAAAGACTGCCTGAGATCTCCTTGAAGTACCAAGTCTCCTCATTGGAGGACACCAGTCAGCAGTGGGGAGGTGTGGTAAACAGCGGGGAGTACCTTCTCCCCGCGATCACAGCCCGCTTTGTTATCCCGCCTCCATATTCAGCAGTGATACACACCGTGACCCATACACTCATTAATAAATACTGAAACACATCAATACAAACTAACACGTATGGTGATCCATACTGACACAAGCAATGACATACAAACACTGAGGTGATAGCCTGATAAAGGCCTTTGTAGGCCAAAACTATGCACTTTTTGTTTCAATAAACCTGCCTTCCTGCAGCAATCCTGAGTGCCTGGACCTAATTTATTTTATTTACATACAAACACTGGAACACACAATTACACCCTAAGAATCATTAACATGAACATGAAATGCCTGGTAGCCACTGCCCACTGAGCCCACCTTGCTCGCTGAAATGGTCTGTGCTCAACTCATGAATGAAACTCGGGATAAATAAATTGTTGAATTCCCAGCATCCATCCAGCAGAATGGGGGGAATCTGAAGCACAGTAATAAAATGTTCACTGTGGGTTAAAGGTCCTCTTAAAACGCTCTAACAGCATTCCAGTGACAATTATAAGACAGGGAAGCTCATTCCCAGCTGCCTGCCAGGACTACCCCCCTCCCTGCATTTTCTCCGGGCTTCTGATGTCACACTCGCTAGCAGGATTGCTAGTTCATTTTTTAGTGCTTGTTGCTCACAAGTGCAAACAAATTACAGATATTATTTTATTATTTATATAGCGCCAGCAAATTCCGTAGCGCTGTACAATGGGATACAAACACTGACACACATACAGATGTACAGATACAAACACTGATACAGATGTACAGACACATCCAGATTCAAACACTGACACGCATGCAGATTGCAGATACACACATACAGATGTGCAGACACATACAGATACACAATGACACGCATACAGATGTACAGTCACACATACTGATACACACACACTGACACGCAAACAGATGTACAGGCACACATACAGATACACACACTGACACACATACAGATGTACCGATACACACATACAGATGTGCAGACACACACAGAGATACACACACTGACACGCATACAGATGTGCAGACACACACACAGATACACACACTGACACGCATAAAGATGTACAGGTCCACATACAGATACACGTACAGACACAAATACAAACACTGACATGCATACTGATGTACAGACACAGATACAAACACTACATACATACAGATACAGACAATCAAAGCAAAGTACAAGTCAGAATTCTAGGCACCCTCCAGTTTCCTACCTTGTAGGTGCAGGAGGATGGATACTGCTACCTTGGGCTAATGGGTGTAAGGGGCTTGTCTCCCCCTTAACCCACACGCGGCTCTGTCTGTTCAAGCTAGGAGGAAGTGCCCGGCTCTCACTTACTTCCTCCCAGCAGGCTAGAACGGGCCTTGTTAAAATGCCACAGCGCACAACTGGGACCCTCAAAGTAAAAGTCCATCTAGTGGCCCTAAGTACAATGTACCCTGGGGGTACACGCGCCACGGGTGGGGTACCCCTGTAGTAGATAATATATACAATGTTGTAGAAAAGTTGTTTACAATGAAAAAGAAAAGTTGTTCTTGTGATATGATCCGTTAAACTATCTCTTGGTTAGTTCAGTATTATTGTGCAACTTGAGCTGGACACTGCGTAACTAAATATTATCGTACATATGGGTCTAGGACATATTAATGTGCTTACAACTCCCATCAATCCCAATGTCCAACTCTTAATCTGTCCGGTTTATTCACTAAACTAAAAGAGTGAATAACTGTAACCCCAAATCAGGGTGACCAGATTTTGGAAATAAAAAAAATTGGGACACCCATTAATGATACAATACACTAGAAGTCTTTAACCAATTTGTGGCCAACAATTGTCTTTTACAGCTCATCCCCTTCATGGTACTCAAATGAGTGTCTTTTAATTTACATTTTGTAGGAGCATGATCCCAGCACACACATACCCTAGACCAGTGTTTCCCAACCCAGTCCTTCCAACAGTCCAGTATTTAGGGATTACCCAGTTGTGTCTAAGGTATTTATAGAAAATTTAAAAAAAAAAACACTTTAGACACAACAGGGTAATCCCTAAATCCAGGACTGTTAAGGGGTATTTGAGGAATGGGTTGGGAACCCCTGCCCTAGACTAAGAAATAATACGACTAGGGCTGCAAATCCTCCTGGATTCAAGAGTATATTTTTACTATATCTTTTTACAGCTGATAATTGATGTACAGTGGGTTAACACTTTTCATGTGCTGCCCGTTAGCATACAGAAGTGATGTGCGCTTAGGACAACATACTGGAACTAGCCACCCTAATTCTTTCTAATTATCAAATGGTAGCTGCTCTTGGTCAGCATTCATGCTGGATCAACTACAATATATGGACTGGCTTGTAAGTAAGAGATATCTATAAAGATTTATGGAAATGTGACATTCGAAGACCTACAATTGAGTGGAAGCCAGGATACAACGCAACAAACAAACCTTCATTTATACAACAGATACTGCACTTACCTCACTCAGCTCCACATTAGCCTCTTAACAATATTTACGCTGCAGGCTATAAGGTAAGTAAATCTTACGTTTTTATTCTTACCTGATAGAGGGGGAAAAGGTGCAGTTCAGAATGTTTTGGGGTTTTTTTCACGAAAATAACACAGGATTTATGTTTTAAGGTACTCTACAATCTTTGTATATAGAAATAAAATTAAAGTCTTTATAAATATATTTTTCTACTTTTTCTTAAGGGTGTAGGTTTACATGGAAGAAGTTTGTGAAATCTATACTTTGTATAAACATTTTTTTTTTTTAAATTGTTTACATTATTAAAATTTGATTTGGAATATGTGAAAACAACTTGCGTATTGAAAACGACTTTTGCAGGTAAGCCAGACAATGAACCGGAACCTGCAGCAAACCGGGAATAGAGAAAATGTCTAAGCTTGGCTCTGCAAGGTTTTTATCATCATTTCTACAGTGCGCTGCCATTCTATGTAAAATTCCAATTATAGCTACCACTCAAAGGCAAGTCATAATTGCCACAAGGCTGACTTGAGTGTTTATTGTATCAAAGAATATTTATTTTCAGAT